CAGCAGGCTGCTGGCTGCTACTGTGAAAATTAAACTAAATGTAAGGATGCATCTGGAGTTTGCAGCAGTTCTGCACTCCAGTAACAGAGCAATAGAGGGGACTGTAAGGGGCAGAGCTTGTTCTGTTGTGCTGTGTGTTTTTCTAGGAAAAAAGATGAGAGAGTCAAGTTTTCTGACCTGACCCCATCCTGAGATAAGTATGTGTCATCCACCAGAAATAAACTTAGGATATTTTTGATAAATCAATTATAACTTGCATGAAAATATCGATGCAAGGAACACGACGCCCCAGATTCAATTAGGTGAGAGAGAAAACAGGTTCCTCACTCTAGGTGAGAACTGCAGTGATAGACAATGGCTTTCAGCTGATGAGCCTAGTCAGAGCAACCGTGTGAATGACAGATCAAGCCTGCAGGTGTCAACCCCAGGCTCTGACTGTCCTTTGGAGCTTCTCTGCATCTCTGAGAATTTGTGATTACTAGCTTAGAAATGACTGCTTTATTTGCTTTAAACACTAACAGTGGTGAGACCAAAGCTGAAATCAGGGCTTGCAGGTGTCTCAGAAGAAGCAGAGGGACTCCGAGGGTCACCTTGTCAAAACCAGAAAATGGGTGGCTTTTCTCCTCTGTCTCTGAGACCTCTTGTGGCATTCAGATTTTGTTAGTATTTTGCACCTCTGATTTCCGTCATGGAGGAGAGTTCCCTGCTGTGAGAAGAGTTGGATTAATGTTATGCAGCTGCTGGTTATAGGAAAGCCAATGGATTTTTCTCAGAAAGGTCAAGTGGCCTTTACATTAAAACATGTGCAGAAAGATAGAGTTTGTTCATGTTCCACCTCCAAGCCAGAATTAAACACTTGGCTCAAATGTGACCCAAATTGGTCTAACCTGCTCTTAAAAGCCTTTTAATATCTGAGGTAAATAACCTTTGCTACAGGGTAAGATGATTATTTTTTTTCTTCCCATTTCAAATAAAGAACAGCTTTCTGTAAAAACCAGTTATGTATTTGAAGACTATTATGTTTTCTTTAGTTCTAATGTTTTTCCCTTCTTAACTAAACAAACTCAATTCCTTCAGATTGCTCTAATAATTCAGATTTTGTAAACATCAGGGATTTAAAATGTCTCAGTATTGACTGCAAACTTTGTAGGCATGGTCCCCAACAGCAGATAGGACATACCACGTGGGATCTCAAAAGTGCCAAGTGCAAGTGGGGACTCATTCCTCTGCCTTCCACGTCGCTCTGTCACCATATGGCAGACAGGTATTTGCTTGCTTTTGTGACAGCATAACACTGCTCACACATATTCAGCCATGGTCCATCTTGCCTGGTCATTATATCTCGCTTTGTTCATTGAACCTTCATTCCCTGAGCATGATATGTCCCTCTCAGTGTTTTCTGTATCTCTTTGTGTTTATTTCAGACAATTCTTCATCATGTGGACATCTAATTCCATCTTCCAAAATAATTCCAGCTCTTCTTACATAGGAGCCATTCACCAATTGTTCAGTGTGCTCTCCAGCCCGTCATCAAAGGTATTAATTAAAATTTTGCATAGAAGCAGATGTAGGGTGAGTCCCAAAAGTAACCACTTTGAAATGTGTCCTGATTGGATAGTGAACCACTGATCCATTTTGAGAATGGCTATTTTTCCATATTCTTAGCTCTTGTTTACTTATTTTACTTGCAACAATGACATGAGAGTCAAGATATATCATGTCTCCTGCTACCCTGTCTATTGGGATGATTACCCTTTCAAAAGCAGAAAGCAGATTGGCTTGCTCCTGACATATACATGTTGGCTGTTTCCTATTGCATTAGTATTCTGTAGGTTTAAATAATTTATTCTATTTAAATTAGAGCATTTATATTATTTATTCTAGTATCCTTGCATAAATCTAAGTTAGGCTGGCTTCCTCTTGAGGTCCTTTCTCTCTCTTTTGGAAACAAGTATGTTTGCTTTTCCTCACTTTCTGGAGATCTTAAAGTTTATCTGTTAGTTCACAGTAGTTTAAGATTAATTTCATGATATTCTGACAATTTGTGTAACCTAATTTACCTAAATATTCTTGAAAGCATTATTTACTTTTTATAGTCTGAACTGTCTTCTGGTTACAACTTGACTACCTTGTCAATGACCCATCACCTCCTTATTTTTTGTATGCCTTAGCACAGTTTCCAGGAGAATCTGTCCCACGGTCATCCTTCTTCATAAACACAAAAATGATTGTGTTGGCTGACAAATCATGGAGTATGGGAGTGAAAAACAGTGTTTGGAAAGGTGTAGAAGGATTTAATACTGAGTTTCAAAAATTGCTAAGCAAGTTCTGTTTTATCTTCTTCCTGACAGAGCAAACATTTCCAATTTCTGACATATGATAAGGCACAAAAAAGGCTCTTCTCTCCTGTTTTGCACACTGTGGTTTAGTTATGCTTGGACTAGAATAAAACTCAGCTCAGATCTGTGTGACTTACCGGTGTTGCAGTTTTCCACTGAGTTTGCAATAGTATACATGTGCTAATGCAGATTTATCTCATCTACACAACCCAAAATATTCTGTTGGCCCCTGAAAAAAAAAACCACCTAGAAAAGACCGTGATGCCAGCTTAATTGGTTTAGGCTCTTTAAAGGTCTGTCCTGCAGGCACCAGGAGCACACAGAACTTACCAGTGATGGACAGGACAGTGTCAAAGCACTCACTTTGGTAAGGCAGACACAAGTTATGGCACACCATTACTTCATGGCCTTCACCTCGTGCTAACTCTACCAGTGGGAAACAGTAGTCGCAACCCAATTTATAGACTTGAAAACTGATGTGAAAGTATTTGTCATTTCTGCACCCTGAAAAAATGAGAAGGAGAAAGAAAGGTGGCCATTTGGTGTCTATGCAAAAGAAAATGTATTCCTGACATAGGCCTTAACTGGCCTAATAACTTGAAATTCTCAACCCATTTTAAAGGAGAGAGAGACAATTGCAGTAGAATTCAGGTTATTTTTTTACCATCATAGTATATGTACAGACTGCTCCTTTCTGTCTAGCAGGCTCTCTGCTGCATGACAGGAGGTGTTCATCTGGGATTGCTAGAGAGTATTTACCTTGGCTTTCCCACCACATATGGAATCAAAAATATTTATGGTACTGGTGATACTGCAGTTCGGCTTGTAATAGACTCAAAATGCTAAGTGAAAGCATCATGTAGTGGGAGCACAGCACTGAATTATTCCTGTGTATTGAAATGCTGATAGACAAACTAGACCGCTCAGTAATTAAGTCACTATTAGATCAAGCCATTAAATCCACTGTTTGTTGTTTTAACTGTTGCTAATTGCTGTCACCATGACAACAGTGGTGTTTCTTTTTCTGGTATCTCCGAGCAGTTTTCTTTTCATAATGGAGCCTGCCAAAGGCAAATTTACATCTTCCCAAACTGAAATAACATCTTGCGTTGAGATAAAGGCAGACCTCTTTAGATAAGAACAATTTTAATGTCAGCAGCAAAATAGAGTTTATCTACATTTTTGATAATTGTTTGCAGAATTATCTGGATCTTAACACAAAGAGGATTTTAAAGTAGATTATTAATTTCAAAAGCTTCTCACTGGCATCATAAAAGTCATAGCTCAGATTAAGATCAAGGATGTAGTGCAGCAGGCCAGCATGACACCTTGTGAAGACCTTAGACCACATTCTCTTTATGGCTAAGCTTACATCAAATTTTAAGCTTGGGTCAGAGCCCAGATTTTCACTCAAATTCATTAAAAAAAAAAAAAGTAGTTTTTTTTGAGCCTTCCAACTATTTAAGGCCCTATATTTAGGTTCCAGCCATGCCGCAGGACCTGTGAGGGTCCCTCTGTTCAGCAAGATGTTCAGCCTCTCAGGCCCATCAATCCGTTGCCATTTGAATGGGAGATGAGTTATGGCTCAGCTGCAGGTAGAATTCTGCTCCTAACTTCTTGTCTAATATTAAAAGCTGATCCCATCTCCCAGGAAGGAAGAAATGATATCCAGAGAAAAGCTGGAGCTCTTTCAGGCCTTCCTATGCCAGACAGGCACCACCCGAAAAGAGGTGCTGTGTAACAGCGTCAGCACTTGGCTAATATTAGACTCTGTTTTCCAAGGAGAAAGAGCAGAAAGAGGACTACCTGGAAAAGAACTCAGGACTTTTTCTGGTTTTCATTTTGGAGAGAAAAGCTCCAGTATAAGCCAAACAACAGCTACCAAATCCATTTCCTCTAATCCAACAGCCGAGGCTGCTTTCCAGGGATGGAGGGGCAGAGCCCTGCAGGTAGACTCCTCTCCAGCACTGTGGCATCACCCTTGGCAATAGTGTTTCACACAAAACTCATCTCTGGCCACAGGCACCACAACAGCACGCCAGCAGCTTCTGTGTGCCAAAGCCCAGGAACAAAGCCTGAGCTTAAATGACAGCATTAGCGAAGTCCAGTGTGTGACATTGGTAAGAATTCAGTGTGCTAGGTGTTTCCATGGGTTTTATTTGTTCATATCGAAAACACTGTAAAATCTGCCAAGATCTGGTAGCAATAGAGTTCCCAGCATTTAGACGATGATAAACTTGGAAAAGTACATGGTAAAGTTTGAATGACACCCAAAACATTGGTCTGATTAGCCCAACCCTCAATAATTTTTCTCTTCCACAAACATTCCCATCTTATAGTGGGGAGTCTATACATATGTGTTGCTGGAAATGATCACAGGTCTAAAGAGCTTTTTGGAAGTCTAGCCTTAACATGTAGAAATGATGAGTTAATATCCAGATCTCACCTGGGCAACCAGCATGTATCCACTTTGGAGCTGGTGCCAAAGCCTGTACAGAGGCTTCCCTTGTATCATTTAGACATTCTCAGACCTTTGGGGAAATAAAAACTGTCACACATTGTTCCCCAGAGCACCCAGGATAGTGTAATGATACTTTCTTCAAACTGGTCAGACACAATATATGTTACATGAGCTAAACAAAATTTCAAATCCCAGAATCATCATACCAGTATACAACATTAACATCCACTAAGGATCTTAACAGATTCAGCTTCAGTTTAGTGCTTCATTTTAGTGTACCTACTGGATTCTGGGAAAAGTCAAATTTTCTTCACATTCATGAATGGTAGGACAAATTGTGAGGTAAATTTGATAGTCTGCCCATTTTGTTTCTCCAGTTTGATTCCCAAGTTTGATTCTCCAAACTCTTGTTACCAAAGTACATTTCGTTAAGTTAAGCAGTATGACACTGTTTATTTAGGAAATAGTATTTCCAAAATCTGTTGCCATTAAAGAGAAATTACTGAGGCAATTAAAGGAAAAAAAAGTTATCTATTCTATGATTTTATACAATATATTGTTTTTTTATATAAATTTGAAAGGAATTTTATGTCTTACCATTCAGCATTTATTAACTTGCTTATGTTATACTTTGGAAGCTGTTAACTTTTGCTTCATAAAGTCTTCCATCTTTTTTCAGTCTACCCTTGAAAAAGATATTTTCTAAGAAGTCCTTTGTTTACAGACACAGCTTAAAAAACAGTAACTGAAAATGATAATACTAAAAGATGCTCAGAGTCTGAAACAAAAGCTCTGAGAGGTGCCATTTCTCCTCTGGATTAGTCTGCACCCAGAAAGTTCCACACTTCCTTTCCCACTGCACAATTCATGGACACTGTGTTACTGTAAACAAAAATCTTCCCAGTTTTCCAAGCATGCTTTTTTTCCCCAGCTGTTGTGGGTTGGTGTGGTGCACTGGTATTGGCAGGGCACCCAGGAAAACCCTGTGATATTGTGAATTGCCTACTGCACCCTAAGTCATTGCTCAGTTCACCATGAAGCTTTGTACAGAAAGGCTGTAGAAGTTATGAACTTGGTTGAACACATGCTGACTATGACAGGTTTTCCATTAACTTATTGAAGATTTGGGGCACCAAGATAGGCTGCTCTGGCTCCACTCACATGAGGCAAACAACTCCATGCAGAATAGCTGCTTCTGTGAGGCAAAGGTATCAGTGACAGACTTCACCCCAGATCTTTGCATTGTAGGCTGCCTATTAATCTGATGCCTGCTGCAGTCTTTATCTGGTCCTTATTTTCAAACCCATAAGCATTTAAAATCCCATCAACTCAAAAGACTATTGCACTGTGATTTCCTGTGCAATTGCATAAAGACAAACACTGAGGCAGGCTAAGCCCAAGTTTGATCCTGCAGTAACATCAAGAAAATAACTCTGGAGAGGTTTTGGCTATGTCATTTATTAATCTAAAAATCTGTGCTAGGATTGAATCCTGCAGCCCTTGGTGTGTTCTATCATTTTATGTATTCACTCATCATCACTGGGAAATTGCCCAGACCGCAAGTTTCCTGAATATCCTGCCTAGATCAAAGTGATGACAAGTACTGGAGTAGAGTGAAGAAATTCCTTGGAAGATCATGGCTGTTCTCTTCATTATATGTGTTCCTAAATAACAGCCACTTTAGAAACTCAGATAATAATAAAATGTGAATTGCCCTGGTTTAGTCTCTCCTGCACTGCAATGGATAACTTTTCTGCTTCTAGTGAGATTTAAAGCCATCACCTTGCAAGCACTTACAGAAGTGCTTAACTCTGTGTGTGCAAACACCACCACTCACTGAATCCAGAGGGGATACTCCAGGCACAGAGTTCACCACACGCATTACCTTGGACAAGACTGGCTCTCCAAGGCAGAAGGATTTATTTTATTTTTTTATTGTTCTTCATTATAACGAAACTCTGCTGTAGAAGCTAGTTTTAAAAAAATACCTTCAGAAAACCCCTGTTTGAAACAGCTGAAGTGCTCTACTGGGGATCATTTCAAGAGGAAGCTGATGTACTATCAAATATACAGAGAAAGGCAGAGGGAGGTGAGAGTAGGGGAGGAAATTGTTCTTTGGAAAAGCCACAACATAATTTCAAAGCTTTGCTATTGCTTAGTTTGACAAGAGGAAATAATAACTGGTGAAATGATGTAAGATCAAAGCAGTGAAGACAACAGAGCTGTTTCTGTTTAACTTTAGGCTTAGGCTTAGGACAGCTCACTTAGGCAGACGGACAGCCTGGGAGCTGCTGCCAGCTTGAGACACTTAATTACCAGGCAAAGACAGGAGGTGCATACAAAATGCCTAGCAAGAGAAACCACATAGTAAAATACTCTTTCAATGCAAAAAAAAAAACCCCACTAAAAAGCATCACGAGTTGTGCATAAAGCAGTCTCTCCTCTGGAACAGGAGTAAAAAAGATGTGTCAGGGGCTATGATTAAATCCCACCTGGAATTAAGACATAGCATCTTTTGTTTTAAAATGGTAGCTCCAAGAGCGTGAGCAACGGCTTGGACTCTCAAAAATTTAAAAGTCTATTTCTGCAAGGCACTATCAAAATAAATTTTCTATAAGGTTCCTGTAAGAAAGTAACCTTTTGTGGGGGAGGCTGGAGGAAGAGACCAGCCTGGTCAGCAACCCCAGCAGTACCCACACTCTACACTCCATTAAATGCTTTTAGTACAACATACTGAAAACCATATAAAATAATGTGCCAGAAGAAGAGAGATCTTTGAGGATCGGACAGAGACAACCACCAATCAAGTCTGGGGGAAAATCTAGAGGATTGACTCAGGTTCAAATATATGATTTATATATGCCACCCTGGACCTCAAAGGCTTTGCAGTTTCTCTGTCATCTCCAGCATCCTTTCTCTAGTCACAGGGAAAGCCATAAAATAACTTGGAAATCAAGCTATTCATCAGGAAAAAGGAATACTTTTCTGCACAAACCAAAACTGGATATTTAGTGCTGCAAATGTCACACAATGGCATTTTCCA